CCGCTGGGAGGGTTCACCAATGATGAGCCAAGAACTCCCAATATATATATTTTTTTCATTGCAGTAAGGAAAGTAGAAGTTTGTTTTATGTGTAAAAAAAAAACATATATATATAGATGGCGTATTGTTGCTTAATTATTAACAAAATGTTATAAAATTGACAAGCAGAGGCCATTCTGATAGGACCTCTATTCTATCATTGTGATTTAAATCCTATAGAATTGATTGGGATCAAATTTTAAAAACAATCTCCTGCTAAAATAAATACAACTAGGAGATGCCATGAAATTACAAGAGGATGAAATAAGTAGGGTACCCAAGGATGATTGGATTCAACAAAACCTCTCTCCTGGTTTCCCAATAAATAGTGTGTGAGATTTCATCAGAAAGAGCATTATTACCATCATTAGACTAAATATTGTGGAATACAGTTATTTGCCTGACGATGGTAACAATACTGTTACCGAAACATCACACCCAATTTATTTATTAGGTCATATTACCTTGCATTCCTAATCTATAATCCAAAAATTTGTACCTTATCATTGAATGGTGAAATGTAGTCATTAAAAGTAATCAACAGTTATGTCTGAATCTGAGCCAGCACCCAAAGAAGCATCCTTATCTGAAGTCTGACTACCACAATATCAGATTCTTTAAATCAACTGCAGACATGAAGACCCATCACCATGATGTTGATAATATTTAAGGATAAGAAATAAGAAGACTAAATACAGACAGAATATTTGGAAACAAAGATAGCTTCACAATTCGAAATCCCTTGAATCAATATTAAAATAAAAATATTAAGCCTCCAGGGAAAAGTTTCTTTTAATATTTTTTATTTAAAAACTAGACGGGTGACCCGGGCTTCGCCCCGGGATTGACCCGTGTGCATATCTACCCGAGTGATATATATTTAGATAAGATTTTTTTTTTTATAATTGTTTGTTATTAGCATTATCTATTTGTTTGCATCAGCATAATTTAATCTAATCTTTGATAGAGGGCGCTGTTCGTGAGCTAAGTAGAATAATTTGAATATATAGTTTTAATAATTGATTTATATATTTTTTAAAATAGCCTATCGTCTTCCCCGTATTTTTTTACCTATGTATGGAAATTTTGGTTTGAATTAGTGAACTACTGCGAATTTGTATACCGGACATACAAACAAACAAACAAACATTGATTTTTATATATATAGATATCTCAAGCTTTCAGGCAAGCTTTTTCTTCCGTAGAAGGGCTTTCTTTCCAGAAAGCTTGAGAGATTTTTAAATAAAAATATTTTCAAAAGAAACTTTTCCCTGGAATGTTCTTATTTTATTGAAGATAGCTTCCTTCGGCTTCCTTGATGTTGATAATATTTAAGGATAAGCATGTTAAGGATAAGCATGTGAAAAGCAGTTTGACTTTGCACTTACAAATGTGCCAAAGCCCCGTTTGGTTACTTGCACTCGCTGGTGAGGTTGTACTTTTGTAAGAATCGGGGGCCATTGGAGCATTTTTTTTTTAAACAGAAAAGTGTCCAATGCGGGAATCGAACCCGGGTCGTGACATTTTTTCTTGCCAACAAACAATAAATAGTACTCTCATAAATATTATAATATAATATTATTAAAAATAGCTTATAGTAATAAAAACAAATCCAAATATATAAAGTGATGTTTCTCTAACAATAGTTTATAAACACAAGGTAATAAGACCAAATTGTAACAATAGTGTTACTATTTTGGTATTAACACCTATGTCATTGTATTTTGTCATGCTATATATATATATATATAGACCTAATAAGAGTGTAAACTAAATTTTCATTTTCAAACAACCTAAACTATTTTAACTTAGGTTAAAACTTAACCTAATATATTAATATACTTGATACAACATTGTTACCAGTGATGCGCAGATATGAGTATAATACCTTTTTATTATTTATTATTATTCTTATTTTATTTTTTGTTATTAAGCCTAAATAATATTCTGTATTATGCATTGAAAATATCTAATCACAAAATTTTTCAAATAAATACTTGGTGACATTTAGTTTTGGTTCTGTGATAGTTACTTGGAAATTGTACTCTTAGGGTTGAAGTTTTAGCCTATTGCAAAAATTTTATTAGTGTTCTTTAGTTTATGTTTGGTGTATAATATGAAGGTATTTAATTATACTTTTTTTAAAACTCTACCTACCCTCTTAAAAAGAATGCTTGCACACTCTCTTGCTCAAAAAAGTATTATATAATTAATCTTTTGATAGGTAGGTGGATTATGAAAATAGTAATGAAATATTATGTGACAACTATATATATATAAATATATTTTTTTATAAAAATGTGGCTAAAATAATTTTATTAAATTATCTTTTGATTGGTAAAAAAAAAAAATGTAAGTTGCACATTTGAAAAAAAAAAGTATGTTCTTACATTGCTTGAAAATTGATTTCTTTGTGTTCAATTAAAAAATATTTTAAGGCTTTTTAACTTATAGTTCAAAAGAAAGACACAAGTTATAAGCAACGCATTTCGAAAAAATTCTCAAAAATCGAAAAATAAGGTTTGACAGAGTTAGTTATTAAAAAAAAAAAAGAAAGTATTATCTGTGAATATCAGTGAAAATTAAATAAGTATTTTTGTTTTTCTAAATTAAAAATTGTTTTATAAAATTTATAAATGTCGAGTTTTTCTTCCAAAATTTCTTTAATTTATGTTATCTGAAATATTTTTCGATTCGCCTTCTCTCCCTCTAATCTCCAACATTAGTTAGAGGGAAGCTATATAATTGATCAAAAGGTAAACTCTAGTTTAAACTGAAGAGACCACTAAGAGGCTGCATTACTAGTGAGCCAGGGGCCCTCCTAAAATATTTTACATCTTTTTAAATAAAATATTTTTAAAATAAGCAACGCAAAATGGTTAACCTTTCAATCAAATGATAGCGATAATATATTATATTATAAGATAAATAAAGCTTCCAGGGCTAAGTTTCTTGTACAATTTTTTATTTTCAAGATTTCGGACTTGTCAGTCCTTCAACAGGAGAATCACATTAATAAATTAATGTTAAGTGCTATTTTTATATTATCCCTATATATATAAAAGTCAGTGTATGTATGTATGTGTGTTTGTTCCTATGTCGGCTATACACGTCCACAATACGTAACTAATCTGACTGAAATTTCAACAGTATATATAGTAAAATCTGGAAAAACTTTTAACGAAAATTTCAGGTCTCTATCCCGAATATTCTTCGAGTTATTTGCAAATTTCGTTGCGAATTTGCACTTTCGCTCGCAAGCAGCGCCTCTAGCGGTGAAGTTGGGAGGTAATATCAGCTGACCTAATAGACATGTAAAACGTGTTTTAACAGGACATAGAGAAAAATCTGGAAGAAATATTTATCAGATTTTTAGCCAAGAAAAATTTAAATTGACAGGTTCTGGGCAAAAATAGTTGTTTTTTAGTCAGAAAATGATGATGACAATATTGCTGTATCAGGTTTGATTATCAGATACAAAATTATATGGGGAAAATTCCAAAAAGCAGAGACCACTGGTAAAGCCAGTTCATTTTTAATATGCAGGAGCAAAATTTCAACAGAAAAACATTCATTCAGCAAAAGACACAAAGCCAGATCATCTCTCTATAAAAATATCGCTTCTCAGAAACAAAGTTTGAGCGGGACGTTTCACAAGAGTGACATTCACGGCGCCAATTTATAATTGTAACGAATAGTATTTGAAAATTTATTATTTTGATTTTGATTTTCGTTGTGGAATTTACATTATTATTATTTTTTATTTAAAAAACACAAAGTTTGGAGCGGGACGTTTCACAAGAGTGACATCCACGACGCTAATTCATAATTGTTACGAATAGTATTTGAATAAAAACATTTAATCGGTAAAACCCGGGCGTTGCCCGGTCATTCAGCTAGTTATTGATAAATCAAGAAAAGCCTAACACAAACGCGTTTCGGGCTGTTGGCCCTCGTCAGCGTGGTACAGGCTGTACCTCTACGATCATTAAATTTAACATTTTTGGTTGAAAAAAAACGAGAATATATTCCTCCCGACCATAATCGTCATATGTAAATATGTAGAGAAATGAGAGGTACAAAATAAAATGTGAAAAAGAGAGATGGAAGAGAAACGGCGATATATTTCGGACAGTCTATGAAAAGAACTAGTTGGTCTTGAGGCTAGGAATGTTGCCGTAGATAGAAGGGTCGATTTCTTGCAAGTTCTTGGCCCTTCCTGACCTCTGGCTGAGATATTCTGTGAGGAAGTTGGCTACAGCCTGCACGCACAAGGGGTGAGGCAAGTCCATGTGGTGCAGTTATGATATAATACAGGTCGCATACCTATTGTAATGACCACTTGTAATTGAGATAGATACTTATTTATGTTTAAAATACAAAAATATTTTCCCACAATGAATTTCTTTTCATTTTCAAATGCTAGTTTTCAAGCGATAATCGCTTTTCAACGGGCTTAATAAAAACATTGACTATTTTATCATGAATAGAGACTTATTTATGTGCAAAAAGAAGTATTTCTCTATTTAAGTATGCACCATAATGATGCATTGTGAATCACTCTAGTAAAAAAACCTTTACCAGTGATGATAAAGAATGATCCACAACACCAGTTTTGGGCTATGGCCCAAATCATTACAGGGGCCATAATATCCTATAAGAGAGATTATGAAAACGGCCAAATTTACCAAAAAGCTGTGTTAAGTTGGTGAAGTAGCAATATCCTATTTACAGGTCTAATGTTTTCCCTTTAATAAATTATATTCAGCGAGTGCAAGTAATCAAACGGGGCTCTGGCATTAGTAAGTGCAAAGTCGAACTGCTTTTCACATGTGTAGACATGTGGTGCAGTTACAGTAAAAAGAAGTCGCTAACTACCCACCATGATTATCATGGCCTGTACCACGTGTACTAGGGATAAGCAAAAAATATATATATATATATTCATAATATAAAAAAGACACCCAACGTGGGGCGCTCGAACCCACGATCTTGAAATTAAGAGTCTGATGCTCTACAGACTGAGCTTGACTGGCTTACAAAACTTTGTGTTTGAGAATACATAAAAATATGCATTCCATTACCATAGTTTCACAAAAAAAAAAAAAGAACTCACCTTATTTTCTCTCGAGTTAGCGATGGATAAAGCTGTTTCCCCCACCTACACAGAACTTCCAGTGTTATTTGAGTTTGGTCATTGGTCTCATTTTATTAAATTAATTCATTTTATTGGTGAGAAAACAAGAACTAAAATAATTGAAAAGAACAGAAAGTTTCATAATATGGTGTCAATGTAACCTAGTTGTACATATTTGATCTATTAGAAATGAAAGCATTAAAGCACGAATATTTATTTTTTACACAGTGGTGAACCCTCCCAGCGGTTTCGCCAATTTAACCTACCAGACCGCTTCTTAGAGCTCTAATACTGTATTTTGGATCATTCTGATTTTATATAAGCTACACTGAAGGGTGGAATCTCAGAAATGGTATTCAGCCAAACTATGAACATAAGCTTTTAGGAAAATACAATTTACATATATTTTATATATTTTTGTAATCTCTCTTTATATTGTTGCATGCATATATATACACTAGCCGAATGACCCGGGCAACGCCCGTGTTTTACCCGATTGAATGTTTTTATTCAAATACTATTTGTTACAATTATAAATTGGAGCCGTGGATGTCACTCTTGTGAAACGTCCCGCTCCAAACTTTACATGTACATTAGGTCAGCTGGTATTACCCCTCATTTTCACCGCTAGAGGCGCGAACGAATTGACTTTTTGTAAATATACATAATTATAAAGATAGAAGCTTCTATAGAAGATAATGATCATAATGATGATGCGCGCGCATCCGTGACAGCGGCCGATGAGGAATTGAGGAAAGACGGTCGTGACTATATATATTAATATTTTTGTATTTTGATATATTTAACTTAAATTTTTATTGCCATCTATCGTTAAAATTTTACACAAATAAATTCACTGGCAATGCGTTTCTGCTTACCTTACTGCTGTAAGGTCTGTAGAGATAATTATTTGATGATATTTAAAAGAAACGCATTGCCAGTAAATTTATTTGTGTAAAATATATTTAACTGATATACGCTAAAAATAATATATAGAGTAATATATTTCAAAATATGATAGATTTTTTTATATGTAACATAATTATAGTGTAACATTCCCGAAACTTCAAATTGCCAGTTTGGCCATCATGTAATACAAAACAGGATATTAAAGTTTGATTGAGAGTTCGTCGCGCCTAAGACAGGACAAAAGGTCTCCGAGTCGTTGGTTTGTTCCCTACCCCCTCCCCTCCCTCCTTGACTGACAAACGGTCGGATAACAACAGTTCATTCCTCTCATGTAGATCCGACATCCTCTTGGACCTTGTCCGCGTCTTCGGCGCTGGCCTCTCTTCTAGGTGACATCCAAACTGTCTCACACTTTTGTTTTGAACATTGACGCCTGATACTACTGTGGCCCCAAGTCTGCTTATATAACCTGCCAACCACAACAATCAGAAGATAGAATAACCCTTACCACATAAATTTATCCTTATACTAGCGGATGTGTACCCGGCTTCGCCCGGGTTTTATCCGAGTGAAAGTTTGCCTAACGAATATTATATATTATGAAGTATAATAAACAATGTTAAAGATTAGTTTTAATTATTAATCAAGATTGTGTGTGAATATGTGAGAAAGATGTAATATCGTTGTTGTTTTCTTGGCCGACTGTTTTACATATGGTGTTATCTTAAAATTGCTTGTTTTGAATATTTTTTTAGATTGAGTTGAATGAATTGCTGAATTTTTTTTTTTTTTGTATTTATATATAAATAAAATTAACTCTGTTGATTTTTTTTTGTATTTAATCGATAACAGCGAAGTTACGCATGTTAAAGTTAGGAAAAATATTTTGATGTTAAGCAAAACCTGCTCCATCTCGTTTTACATAAATGTTGAAAATTTGGTCGAAATTGATGCATTGCAACGAAAGTTTTTAGCGAACACCACTTATGAAATTTGCATTTTATTAATATAGATTAGAGAGAGAGAAAGGCTAAAAATTGGTGTTTGTAATCCTCCTACACCAAACTACTGAAGTTGTCATTCAAGTAGATGGCTGTAGACGGAATCTCCCATGGGAGATTATTGTGCCTAAAAACATGGCCCAACCCAGTCTCTGGCTGTTATGGCTTCTTATGGAAACTCTTTATGTTCTACTTTTATTGATCGTAATTCAAATGATTGTGTGTAGGACGAAGAAATAATTATATATATAAACTCATGGACAAAACTTAAGGAAGTTTTATATTTTGAGTGTCGCCGGCTATGTTTTTTTTTTAAGGAGAAAGAAACAATTTTATTCACACTTTTTTTTTAATCTCGTGTGCCATCAATAAAGCTCACTTTGTATCAATTATCTTTCAGAGTTATAACATCTGAATCTCGATATATACATTCTAAAAGGTACAACTTCCTTTAATTTTGTCCATATACAAGTGTAAATTATACTTTATTATACTAAAAAAAAAAACAGATGCAATAGTTTATTCATCATACACATTAAGAATAACTTGGTACCCTCCATTATGCGGTGTATGTAAATAATTAAACAATAACTGTCCACTAGTCGTATACTGACGGCATTAATAAAACATCTTAAATCCTCTTAAATAACCAAAAATATATATATTTTCTATAGGCTTAACATTTTCCAAAGAACTTTTGTTGAAACAATATAGGTTGGAAAAGGCATTCACTCAGATAGAACCCGCCGGTTCATTAGAGATAAACTCTCAAGATAAAGAGAGAAGCATTGCTCCTCCGGAGACCAAGTCGCAGAATTGCTGAAATAGAAGACCCAACGTGCACCATTTGTGATAATGATAATGATGAAACCATTAAACACATTCTTATTGATTGTGAGGATCTGAGTCAATACAGAGAAACACCGTTTTCTATAAAATTATTCAAGAAATAAAACATCCTCAAGTCACTGTAAAAGATTTCATTTTAAAATATAGAACATATAAAGCAACCCTCGCTTTCTTTGAGTTATCAAACATAGGCTAAATCCGAGCTTCAGAATACAAAAGTGAAGGGGAGCTTTAATTATATGCAACTTAAACCAAAACCTAGCTACCACTCGTGTCCCAGACAATAAGATTGTATCCATCACATGTTTATCTGAATATATAAATCTTACACCATATACAACACCATGTAACATATAAAATTTTTACATATAAAGCGTATTTACGCAAACTTGGTCTTAAATACTTATGGGCCCAAATTGTCGGTTGTAGAGGAACAGCTTGCACCACGTTGACGAGGGCCAACAGCCCGAACCGCGTACTTGGTTGACTTTTCTTGATTTATCAAGAAATTGGGTTGTCCAAATATAACGGAACAATCTAAATGAGCGTTTAATTTATTTTTGTTTCACTAGATGGAGCTCTGCCATTTAAAAATGCTCAAGTGAGGAGCGGTCAGGAAAAATGCCAATATTGTTTTTAATATATAACCTTGTATCATAAACTTTTGTAGATAGTTTGGGTAAAGGCGTGTTAACGTGTAGAATTCGTATAAAGCGAATGGTACACGACGCGGTAGAAGTAAATTGTTGGAGACCTGCGGTTTACACGACAAGTACCGGGTTGACGCGGGCGACATCCGCGCCGTGTTCCACCAGGAGCCGGGCCACCTCCAGGTTGTCCGTGAGGGCTGCCAGCATGAGCGGGGTTTGGCCGTTGTGGTCGGTGGCGTCGACGTCCGCTTCGCCCAGGGTGACTAGCAGTTCGACGATGGCCGGGGAACGGCCGAGAACCACGGCCTTGGCGAGCGGCGTCCACCCCCGGCTGGAGTCACGGGCGTCCACCGCGGCCTGCCCGGATCTCAGCGCCTGTTCCACCACGGCCGGCTGATCCCCTGCCACGGCCAGGTGCAGCGCCGTCTCCCCCAGGTTGTCCCGGTCGTCCCAGCGACACCCCGCGGCGAGCAGCTTGCTCACGATGTCCAGGTGGCCTTGGTGGGCCGCCAGCATCAGGGCCGTTCGTCCCTTCAGCCCCGTGGCCCGCGGATCAGCCTTGTGCTCGAGCAACAGCTGGACGATCCTGCGCCTCACTCAGTCACTGGACGGACCGTGCAATACATTCCGTGCTGCTAACAAAGCAAGTAACTCACGGATAAAATTTGAGGAAGTGGAAAGTTTTAATGTCGCCGGTTGTCTATTTTTTTTATTGAAGGAGACAAAGGCACTTTAGTTCACACTTGGTTATCTCGTGTGTCTTCAATAAAGCTCACTGTGTATCAAACATCTTTCAGAGTTATTGTCTGAGTCCCGATATACATGTTAAAAGAGGTAAAAATCCCTTAAGTTTTGTCTCTCCATGAGTGTATATTGCTCGGAAGGCATTGTATAAAATCAGAACCGATAATTAACAATAACTCCTGATAATGGTAAAATATTTTTAGAGAAATCGTGTATAGAATTCAAGAATCCCATCCCCTGACGAAGATGACAGAGAGTCACTGAAACAGACGGAAATAACAACAAACTTTAACAAAGAACTCGTCCCATACAGTATTTACCCAGATACAGAAGTAAACATAACAGTTATCTGCACAAACATGGACCTTTCTTCAAGTTGGATCCATCATCTGTTCTATTGTCTGTGCTGTTTTCCTGAATCTGTGAAAAGCTGATAAATTAAAACATACGGAACTAGATAATATAAGAACAATTGAAATGAATATATATATTCGTTTTAAAACCAACCACCTCAACAAAGTGATATTTAGAACAAACACAGGTACGTACTTGGCGTGGCCGTACTCCGCAGCCATCATGAGAGGGTTAAGCCCGAGGGGGTTCATACAGTCGATGTCCAGGACCCTGGACAGTGTATCACGTCTAGTGTGTTGTTGGTCTATAAAACAACCAATATATATATGTCGAATCCTGTCGACTCTATGTCGAATCCTGTCGACTTTCTTTCTTTTAGCTGTGGTGTATTT